GCACTGTATCATCAGGACTCCTTTGGACTGGACAACAGAGGACAAATTCAGGAGGTTGAATGGCAATAGGTTAAATGAAATGCCATTTGGAAAATCCATAACACCCCAAAAGGCATCCTCAGTAGGAAGCAGAAAAGAAATACTCTTCAAAAGAATTTGGCAAAGTGAAATGCCTGGAATGGCCTCGACTCAGTTAAAGAAGAGAAGAACTGGGAGGAAGGCAAGGGGGACAGGGGGATGGAAAAGAAAGGGAAGGGAAATCTTCTTACTTGATTTTAGGGCCTGAATTCATGCCATTTGTAGAACAAAGTAAAAACTATCAGATATTTTAGTTTAGTTTAAACTCAACCACAGTTTGAAAAAATCAGATGGTACCCAGTTATCACAAAATATAGCATCTAGGGTCTTAAAGTCTTATCTGAAAACAAACAGCCATCTAAGTGAGGTGTTAGTTAAATACACATGGAAGGAAAACACCAACCAATGTACTTCAAGGATTATAAGTAATAAAATCTAAGATCAGAGGAGAGAATTATATTAGAGGTTACATTCTGAACACCCCATTTACAGAAAGCTATAGATGACAGTGAAAGGCTAAAATCCATTTGAAGAGTCTCCACGTGGATTAAGCCTCCACTGAACTCCTTCAGACCATTGATCAGAGATATTGATAGTCTTTCCCTCAGAGAGAATACATGGGAAAGTGGATTACTGTGGATATAGTTACTGCATCTTATCATATTTTCCCTTTTGACCCATTTTTTATTTGTTCTGCTTTCTAGTATATTCTGTTTTATCTTGGTTTGAAGTTTCTCTGTGTTTTGTTTTGTTGTCATTGTTGAGATATTTTGTATGATTTTCCTTTCTTTGAAATCAAAAAAGATAATTCTATTGGGACAGTAACTAGGCAAACAGTTCCTTAAGTCACAGCAGGGGATCCTGTGAGGTAACAAAGATCTAATGATGATGAGTACAAGATTGAAGAAAATGGTCTAATATTGATTGTGGTGATGATTTCACACTTCTTTTAATACGTTTAAACCATTGAGCTGTGCAGTATGAGAATAATGTCAATAAAACTATTAAAAATAAATAAAGTAAACCACAATTGATAAAAACACCAGACAGAAGAGAAGCAGCAAAACTTCTCTGGGGAACAGAATTTAAACTCAACCCCCAAAAGTGGCCCACAAAGGAACTGTCCAATAGCATACACTAACAATCTAAATTCACCATACAAACCAGAAAATGAGACACCAGGAATGAGTGCCAACAGTAATAACGAATTTTATGATCAGAATTTTGGAGTCTGTATATACTGGAATTATCAAATCAAGAAATGTATATAAACTATATTTAAAATTTTGTGGGAAAAATGAAATCCAAATATAATGGAACTTTTCCAGGAATTTTTGAAGCACCTTCGGATAAGGAGACCCAGTGGGCAAAGGGCTAAATTCCTGGCTATAAATCAAAAGACTGGTGATTCAAACTCATGCAGTGGATCCACAGGACAAGGATCTGGTGATCTGCTCCCACAAAGATGACAGTCTAGGGAGCTCCTTGGGGCAAATCTACTCTGTCACATGAAGTCTCTATGGGTCAAAATCAACTCAACGGCACTCAATAACAATGGAGTTATAAATGCGTAAAGATATTAAGGATAAACTTGAAAATAGAGCAAAGTAATAAGAGAATTTCAAAGCAGGTACATTTGAAAAAAAAAACCAATAAAAGTCCTAGAAATGTAAACATAATAAAAATTTGATTGATTGATGTTAGACATCGCTGAAGATAATTTTAGTACCAGGAAATTTAGCCAAAGAGAGAAAGCAGTGGACTCTGTGAGAGTGCTAGGAGAGACAAAGTAGATGAATGAGAAAACCCAGCATGCATCTAATTTATATTTTAACCCTAAACCATAATTTTCTATGAAGATTTACTTTGCATGCTTCCATTCAAATATTCAATATTCTTTTACAAATATCTAGTTTTATACTTGGGGAGTGTTTAAAGGATTTCAGATGATCACATAATGCCAGGGAGAAGTGTTTCTTGCCTCTATTCCTTTTCAACTGACAAGCACCAGGTTGTGGGGACAAAGAGTGAGACAGAAAAGGCTGGACCTTCCTTTTCCACCTGCTCAAAATCAGAGCCCCTTCATTGGCTACAAATTGGCTCTTGAAGGCTATTGGAAATGCATCCATTGACTCTGGAACTATAAACCGAAGAATATAGATATTTAATAAACCTGGGTACATTTACAAGGACTATTGACAGGGAGTATGTTTTCTAAATTATCGAGTTAGTGAATCTACAGGTATTTTTAAGGACAGGGGAGGTTGTCAATATCTTAACTGAAATAGATGATTTCTGTGCATGCTTCCCTTCTTCTATTGCTATTTCCTTGATAATATGAAGGGAAGCTAAGGGCAGAGCAAAGTGGCAATATGTTATTTTAAAATGTTGCATGACACAGACACTGCAGCTCTGTTATATTATACAGAGAGACATTTTCTACATTTTGCTTATGGGCAAAGAGAATACAGCTATTGGTCACAGTGGTAGATTGGGCTGGCCAAACTAGCAAAGGTGTCAAGGAACATTTTGAAGTTTAAAATGCAAGGTGATATAGATATCGTCCAGGATAGATAAACCCCTCAGGGCCAACAATGAGAATAGAGATACCAGGATGATAAGGGGAAGGTAGGGGGAGAAAGGGGAAATCAAACACAAGGATCAGCATATAACCCCCTCCCAGGGGGACGAACAACAGAAAAGTGGGTGAAGGGTGACAGAAGACTATGTAAGATATGAAAATAATAATCTATAACTTATCAAGGGTTCATGAAGGAGGGAGGACAGGAGAGGGAGGAGGGAACATGAGCTGATACCAAGGGCTCAAGCAGAAAGAAAATGCTTTGAAAATGATGATGGCAACATTTGTACAAATGTGCTTGACACAATGGATGAATTGTATGGATTGTGATAAGAACTGTAAGAGCCCCCAATCAAAATATTTAATAAAAAAAAAAGAAATTTACCTGTTTGTATTTCATATGACTTGCTGTATATGAAGCCCAGGATAGGTTGATCTATAGAGAGAGTGCCTGGATTGATAGTAGCCTCGAGCCATAGCAAGGGAGGTGGGGAATAGGGAGCTAACGACAATGAGCACAAGTTCTGAAACTGCTTGTGGTAATAATTGCACAAATATTACTATAACTGAACAATTAAATTGTATGATATGTGAAGTATATCCCAATAAAGGATACAATATTTTTAAAATAAATTACAATTGAGGTACTGAATATAGATAAATGAACTGATCTTTAGAAAGAATAACTCAATAGCATTGAATAGTGTCATGTCTCACCTACCATCCCATTAACAATGATTCAGTATAGTTAACAAAGATGGTAGATATGGTTTCTGTTCATGAGAAGAACACTACCAAAAGAGGCCAAGTTTCGAGCCTACATTTACCAATCAGTTCAAGAGGGCACTAATCTGGGGGAATTAACAAGGTGGCAGGCACACAAGTAAGGTGGGTAGGGGACTGCATGGGGGACAGGAGAAGATTCACAGAGAATGACATGAAGGTTGGGTTACAAAGGGTGAGGAAGAGCAAGAGCCAAGGCACAGCAAAGTAAAAGCTCTGCTAGATGAAATTTTAAAAATAATAGCATCTTTCAAGCATGTTTCTCAAAAATGATGAGTGAATTCGTGAAACTTCTGATCTCTCTCGTCTCCTCCAGTGTTTACGTATCCAGAAAATGGCACTGACGACTTCAGAGAGCAAGGAAAGGATCTCAACCAGCAGGTAATGATGGGTGTCTTAGAAGACAGGCCCAAACCGGGTCCTTAGATCAAACTGCAGGTCATAAAATAAACTTATCTGATTCAGACAAAGCATTTTTTTAAAAACAGATGGGGAATTTGCATAATATACCACACATACGTAGCATGGAACACAACACAAATAATAGCACAGTGCACGGTAGGTCAAAATGCAAGTATTGTTTGGGGGCAACCTTAGGTTTCAGATAAAAATGCCATACACAAGTTAATATATATAAAGTATTTAATTGTCTAATCTATAAGGGGGCTTCAAAAATGTGTGTACAAATTCTGTGAGTTTGACATACATTTTTTGTCAAACTCACAGAGCTTCAAAAAGCTCTCTCATAATCTAACTGTATCTTATAATATTCAAATACATGTTTATTATCTTTGTGTTCACTTGTTTATGTATAGATACTATTAGAGGATTCTGTTGTTGTTGTTGTTGCTGTGTGTCATCAACTCAGGTTTGACTCACAACGATGTAGGTCTACCAGAAGGAAGCATCACCCGCTTCTGCACCATTCAGGGTAAGGGAGGGTTGACTAACATAACATAGCATATAACGGAATAAATAAGAAAAGAGAAAACTCTAGCACATTAAAAGGATACATAGAGTTTTATGCAACTTTTGTTTATGGGTTACAAATATTGTATTATATATTTTAACTAAAGTATGAAGCTCTTTGTTCCCATAAAGATTTACTTCTCTAGAATTCAAAGTAGCGGTTCTCCTCTGTTCTATGGTCACCCTGCGTCGAAAATGACTCGATGGAAGTGGATTCATTATATATTATGTAATTTTATCTTGCGTAGTATGTAATATATCTTTAATATTTACAGAATATGTAAAGCATAAAATGTGTATATCATTAACGTTTATTTGGTGAATAGTAACAGCTAACATTTGTATAGCTATTAAATACATATACACATATGTGTGTCTGCACACGCTTTATGGGAGCCAGCATTAGAATTTAGGATCATGTGCGTTTGGAGTAAGATAACACATGATGCATGATGCCTGGCACGCTGTATACAGTCAGCTACTAAAGTGGTCACTTGTGTTATTATTCCTGAGGGGTAATAGCCTGTATAGTGTTGCCGTGGTATAAGCTAGATAAGTCTGATGCCTCACTATAATTTTTCTACAACATTAATGAGCTGATGTGAGATTGACACATCTGGTTGCTTTATATATGAACACCTGGGATACCTGGTTCAAAAGTAAACTTTAGGAAGTAGAAGTTATTTACTACTATTGATGTGTACCTTTTTATAGAGAAAACATTCCCATTTCTGGGAGCAAATCTATATCATTTTCATGAACAACTATATAAAAAAAGCCTTTTATTTGAAGAAAATTATAGTATTTCTGAGGAGGAGTTCCAAGTTATTGTTTTCAAATGGCTTGTAAGGGAATCAAATTCAACTCAGACAAGAAAGGTAAACCTAAATTTGAAAGAAAAATTTATTTTTCTCTTTCAGGAACGTCTTTCCAAAGATACATTACAGATGAACACCTATGTTGCCTTGTACAAATTTGTACCACAAGAGAATGAAGATTTGGAAATGAGGTGAGCATAATTTTAAGAAAAGAGACAATATTAAAAGCCTAAAACGAGTGTGTTCCACGTGAGAATAAAGAAATAATTCTGCTTGTGCCAACTCCTAACACTATAGAGGCATGATTCTCAAACTTTAGCCTACAGTCACTTGACTGGAGGCCTTGTAAACACAGATTGCTGGGCCCTGACCTTATTGGGTTTCCAATTCAGTCTGCAAGTGGTGCCACTGCTGGTGGTCCCAGGGCCCCACGTGGGTAAGCCCTGCTGTAATACATGACAAATCGACTTCTAATACGAGTGTTCAGAAAGCTAACCTTCGCCAGGTGTGCTCTTCATCCTGTAGGTCAGCGGTTCTCAACCTGTGGGTCTCGACCCCTTTGAGGGTCAAAGGACCCTCTCACAGGGGTCCCCCGATTCATAACAGTAGCAAAATAACAGTTATGAAGCAGCAACAAAAATAATGTTGTGCTTGGGGGTCAGCACAACAGCAGGAACTATATGAAAGGGTCGCGGCGTTAGGAAGGTGGAGAACCACTGCTGTAGGTGCAAACGTGAAATCCTATTCAAATGGACTTAGTCTCCGAAGTTACACTGAGTGAAGAATCAGACTCACACTCTCGGGGTCCACTAAGAGCCCTGGACTTTACAGTCACCACAACGCTGAGGCCGCGTAAGTGAGCTTTGTGACACGGATGCCACCTGGGCTTGTCCCCTGAGCCCCGCCTGAGGATCTCGCTGTTCTCGCGAGAGTTAAATTGGGTCAGTCTTGGGTTCGGATCATATGTGCTATGTGATGACCTTAGGCAAATTATAACTACTTCATTCACTTAATTTTCTTACTTTTAAAAAATCAATCATGTAAGAATAATCATGGCCCATTGCTTTTCAGGATATGAGGAGGAGATTGCTAACGCATACTGCACATTGCCTGTCTCAGTTAGCTAGGGTTCCATCCGGGTCATCACGGCTGAGGCTCCTCTGAGCAGGCAGCTCTTCCTCAATCCGTGTGTGTGTGTGTGTGTGTGTGTGTGTGTGTGTGTAAACATTTCAATCTTTTGTGAAATATTGTATATTTTGAAGCAACTTTTTTTTCTTACTTTTATTGGGGCTCTTACATCTCTTATCACAATCCATACATTCATCCAGTGTGTCAAGCACATTTGCACATATGCCACCATTATCATTTTCAAAGCATTCTCTTTCCACTTGAGCCCTTGATATCAGCTCCCCATTTCTTCCCCGTCCCTCCCCCACCGACCCTCCCTCATGAACCCTTGATATGTTATAGATGTTATATTTTCTTATCTTACATTGTACTCCGTCACCCCCCAACCAACTTTCCAATAATTGGCCCCCCGGGAAGGGCGTTATAAATTGATCCTTGTGATCGATTCCCCCTATCTCCCCCCACCCTCCCCTAATCCTCCTGGTATCTCTACTCTCCCTGTTGGTCCTGAGGGGTTTATCTATCCTGGATTCCCTGTGTTGCAGGCTCTTATCTGTAGCAGTGTGCATGTTCTGGTCTAGTCAGATTTGCAAGGTAGAATTGAGGTCATAATAGTGGGGGGGAGGAAGCACCAAAGAACTAGAGGAAAGTTGTGTGTTTCATCGGTGCTATACTGCACCCTGACTGGTTCATCTCTTCCCTGTGACCCTTCTGTGAGGGGATGTCCAATTGTTTACAGATGGGCATTGTGTCTCCACTCCATGCCCCGCCTCCACATTCACATTGGGTGTGATTTTGTTCTGGGTCTTTGATGCCTGATACCTGATCCCATCAACATCTCATGATCACACAGGCTGGTGTGCTTCTTCCATGTGGGCTTTGTTGCTTCTGAGCTAGATTGCTGTTTGTTTATCTTCAAGCCTTTAAGACCTCAGACACTATGTCTTTTGATAGCCAGGTACTATCAGCTTTCTTCACCACATTTGCTTATGCACCCATTTTATCTTCAGCGATCATGTTGTGAATGTGAGCACCACAGAATGTTGGATTGTTAGAACAAAGGGTTCATGTGTTGAGGGAGTACTTGAGTCAAGGCCCAATGTCCATCTGCTACCTTAATCCTCTTCTGAGTGCCTTCCAACCTGAGAGGCTCATCTTCTGACACTGTTCTACTTCTCTTCATTCAGCCTTCAGTAACTGACAATGTTTTGATGCTTTTCAATGTTTTAATAAGATCTCCAGGGGCAAATCCCTTTGACGTGGATAGCCTATTCCTTCTTTGTAGTCTGTTCTTAGTCTGGAAGCTCTGCTGAAACCTAGTCACTTTTGGTGACCCTGCTGGCATTTGACATATCAGTGGCATATCTTCCAGCATCATAGCAACACACAAGCCACCACAGTAAGACAAACGGACAACAACTGGTGGCTTGTCTGCTCAGTAAATCATAGTCCTTATGATTTTTATTAATGTGGTGTTCATTGGCTTATTGCCAAGAAAACCCCTGCTTCTTTGCTCCATTCATAACCCCAAAACCAATATCACCCCAGGAGAAAGCTTTGGTATTTTCCAGTCTTAAAGTCAAATAGAAGGGGCGTCTTTTATAGGTTGGTTCTGTTCGCTTTTGAAAAGAATGGGGACAAAGTGAGCATTGGAAACATACCAATGCTCAGAGGAAAGAGCCTCCGTTTGGGGGTGTACTCTCATACGAAATAGCCTTCCAACTGCAAGCAGTTAAGAGCCTTGCATTTTACTTCTAACTTCACAAAGGAGAAACAGGATCAGAATCAACAACCCAAAGCCAATTCCTATTTAGGGGCCATCAGACATGGCTACACCGTTCAGCCGTTTTCCCAATTCTAACACTAACTGTTTCCACCACAGTGCTGTCTATTACTCTGCTAGGTTCAATAATTGATTTCAGTGGTCACAATGACCAAATGCTGGGTTAGGGGGTTTATTAAAGAAGTGTCAGGTTAGAATTCAGGATCAGGAACACCAGGGATCCAGATCTTCAATCAGAACAACTTCTTGATCAGCAGTGCCCACAGGGAAGCCCAGGTCCTATGGCCCTTTCCAGACAAGTGTGACAAAGAGGCACTCTACTCCACCCATAAGTCTCAGCCCAAAGGCTTTCCATTATAGCCTCATGGCCCACATACCTAACTCCCCTCTCCATGTAAACTAAGTGCCCAAAGGCAGGCCACTCCACCAATAAACTCCTGCCTAAGCCCACTGTGCTGTCTCCCGCGGGTCTCCTTTGCCACTGCTTCTCACTGTCTCTCACCATCTCTGGTGTCACAGCTCTCCAGCTCCTGGATCCAGGAGGTTCCTGCAGGGATGACAGGTCCAAAGAACATGCTCTAGTCTCGGTTCTTCTTTCTTGGTGGTAGTGAGATTCTCCGTTCTGTCTCTGGAACGGCTCATTTTAAACCTAGTAGGATGGCAAAACTGATCAATTACCACCCCCACCCCTTGTTAGGGTTCTATATGCCTCATTTTCATGGCCCCACCCCACAAGGGTGTCATACATCTTATTTATCACATTAACAACTATCCAGTCCCCAGGATGGGCCACAAGCACTGCACCTTTGCATAGTTCTAATTACGCATTTGGTAGGAGTTATAAAGACTAATCCGCCGGGCCACATCAAGTAATTCATTACACCAAAGCTGATAAAAGAAAGGGCACTGCTTCCAACCCACACATTCAAGGAAGAAAGACCTAGTGATCTACTCCCACCAAGATTTCAAACCAAACTCGCTGCCATCGGGTCAATGCTGACTCGGAGTGTGGGTTTCTGAACCAGTAGCTGTTGGTGGTAGTAGAAATCCCAGTCTTTGTCCTGCAGGACTGCTGGTGGTTTCCAAGTGCCAACCATGCGATGGCAGCCCAATGCATAGCCACTACCCATGCAGATGGTAGCTCAGAAAACCCTATGAGCTAGTTCTACTCTGTCACATGGAGTGAGTAGGAGTTGAAATCAACTTGCAAGCACCTAACGATAACCGCTGTGTCTCTGACTGCCATGCAAACTAAGCTGTCCATCGATAGCCACGCCCTTCAGGTTGTTTCCAAACGACCTTGCCTCAACACCCAGGAGTTCTTGGGGTTTCCCTACATTTTAAGGTGTGTGCATTTTCTAGGTTTGGTCTGCCTGACCCTTGCCTGGATGTGCTCTCCCTCACCCCCACTTTCCCCAGAGCCTATAAAAATGGAGCATCACTGAGAAACTGTAGCCCATTAGTCTAGCCTCAGCAGCGTGGCCGCCTTTCCCGAGGAGCAGTGGATACAGAGACTTCAAAGCAGGTTTGTTTATCCTGCTGGGATCTGGCAACACCCCCTGGCTCACACCCTGAAGCCAGTTTTGCGCCAGTTTTAGGTGAATCCAAGTGATTCTTAGATATGCTCAAAGCTGAGTGCACAGCCCAAATCCTGGCTTCCTGGATTTGCTCAGACAATTAAGCACTGGCACTTCTGCGTTTTCTCCATCCCTGAGTAAGAATAGCCACATTAAACACACAAGCTGTACTTGTCACCCCTTCCCTGAACAATTCAGGCATCAGTGTGGGAGGAAGAGACAGCACTTATCAAGGAAATGCCCTAGTCCCTCAGAGCCAAGGCCTGCCTCCGCGGTGATCAGAGGGATGCTGCCTTGCCTGCACCGATCACCCACGAGCTGCTGCTGAAGACGATAGCATCTACTGACCCGTGCAATCCGTACAGGACAAGAATTACAGTAGGAAATGCATATGAGTATTAGCCCATCCTTCTAGAGATTGTCATTGGGGTTTCTAGAATTCCAGAGTTTACAACTTCCTTTGTGCAAGGTGTCCCTGGGTGGCATAACCCATCAAATTGCTGGATTACTAACCAGGGGCTTGGCAGTTCATACCCACCCAGCAGTGCCTCAGAAGAAAGGCCTGGTGATCTGCTTCTGAATGCTCACAGCCTTGAAAGTCTCATGTAGGGTGGTTTCACCCTGCTTCACAGTGGCTGGTTGGGTTTTGTTTGATTTTGTCTTATGCAGTGCAGTCAGACTTACTTTAAAATAGCATTCTGAA